TCATTGAGATGTAATATAAGGTAAAATAAAACCCAACAGGTTTCATGTCACTTAAGCACTAGTCATACACCTGTAAAGTTGCATATAAATTACATTTATTATGTAAAATTAAGTATTCATTTAAAGCAGTATTTCTGTAATGAGCCTAATCATAAAATATTAAGGACATTGCTTAAATGCAGATTGCCTAGCCCTGTCCTGGAGAATCTAATTCAACACCTCTAGGATGGGGTCATGTGACTGCAGTTTGTTAATTGCCTTAGGTGATATTTTTAGAATCAGAAGTTTGGGAAGCCATGATTTAAAGGATTTCTACTGGAATTTCTATTATTCAGCACACATGCAATTACCTTCAAATTTTTTTATCAGCTCAGATTTTCAAGTTGTTGTCTAGCATTTTCTTATTTTTCAGGTAGGTTTACTTTTTCTATATATCACTTATATCACTTTACGTCATGAAGCTAAGAAACTAACCAAAGCATACTCTTTGCAGTGTATTCTCTTCTGGACACCTTTGGCAAGTCTGTGTTTTCTGGTGGATGCAGTTTGTGGAAACTGAACAAGAACAAGAGAAAAGCAAGAAAGGCAAGCTTTATTTTGCACAAGGCTAATGTTAGAATCTGAGATAATTGCTGAAGGGTGGTAAGTACAATTAGGGGTTTTATAGAAGTGAGAGAATCAGAGCAAACACCATCTATACTTTGTCCCTCTTTTTCAATTCTAACTTTCAGGGGTCTTCCAGTGTGTATGTATTTAGTCAACTCTCAAATAACGGAGTATATATGAATTAATACATTGTAGGGAACAGAACACTGGACCCTAAGCATTAAACTGATGATTCCTGGGGAAGGAGGCAGGACTAATTGTATTAATTGGCTCTTTATTTGTTCACTTTGAGTATTACTAATTCTTAACTACCAAAGTTATTTGCAAGAATAATTTTATCTGTTTTTGAGTATATAAATGTATGCATTACTAAGTAGATAACTGATTATGTTCAATTACTTGATGGTACCATTATCTCTTCACCTCTGATTCTCCCACACTGGAGTCCATTCTGGTTCTAGAACATGCTAAGCATGTCCACCTCAGGACCTTTACACTTGATATACCATCTGCCTATAACACTCAAATCTAATCTTTAGGGCTCCATCTCTCATTTTCTACAGGTCCCTATTCACAGGTCATCTCATCATAGAGGCTGTCCCAGGACATTGTATATAAACTAGCTCCTCATTACTCTTAATTCCTTTCGCCTACTTCAATTTCTTGCATAGTACCTACCATCATCTAATTTATTATATATTTACTTCTTGATTGACTTACTGCCCATTCCCTCATATACTCTAGAATATAAGCACCCTGAAGGCCAGGACTACATTCTATTCACCAGCAAATCTCATTGCTGGCATCAATGCCCAGTAAGACATATTGAATATTTGTATTGGTTTGAGGAAGATATGAAAAATTACTGACATCTGTAATCTCAGATATTTTATGTAGCCAAATGGAAAAGAACATATACATTTATAAAACTAAATAGTAGAAAGTTTAATTAAATGTATAAAGGCATCCAACTATCTAAAAACATGTCCACATGAGATCTTGAGCATTTCTTGTATAATAGCAAAACTCCTTTAGCAAAAACACAAAAAATTACTGAAAAGAATTAACTTAGACCAAAAAAATGGGGTGCACAGGGAGAAGTGGGTATTTGTCATGACATGTGTTGTATATTTTTAAAACTGTTTTGTAACTATTATATTGTTTTTATAGCTTTTATGCACTTACCAGGTATTGTCATAATGAAAATCAGGCCTATTTATGTTTCACTTTATTCTATAGTGTAAGCCTCTTAAATATGTGGTGCACCTTTTACATTTTTATTTTCTCCTACAATGTCCATCGGAATAAGTTGCAAATACCAGGTAATTGGGGGGGGGGGGGGTCTGAGGTCGTGGCTCAGTGGTAGAGTGCTTGCCTAACACATATGAGGCACTAGGATCAATCCTCAGTACCACATAAAAATAAACAAATAAAATAAAGGCATTGTGTCCATCTACAACTCAAAAAAATATTTTTAAAAAAGGTGATCAAAAAATGTTTTATTGAGGAGGCTGGGGTTGTAGCTTAGTGGTAGAGTGCTCACCTAGCATGTGTGAGGTGCGGGGTTCCGTCCTCAGCACCACATAAAAATAAATAAAAGCACTGTGTCCAACAATAACTTAAAAATATTTTTTAAAAATGTTTCACTGATTAAAAATGCCTCTATCAAACCAAATAATGTGTGTGTGTGTGTGTGTGTGTGTGTGTCTTCTACATATAGTTTATAAATTTTGGCAGTAACATGGTTTCTTAACTATCAGTGCCTTGCTTACACACATGCTTGTGAACAAAGATCATAAATCTTCACAAAATTCAAAATGGGGGAGCAGACCATGTATAAATATGTATAAAGACAAAATGTCCTCAAAACTTTGTTTTAATGAGCGATAGCATCAGCCCTATAGAACACAAAAAGCAGAACGTTTCAATCTGAAAAGTCCACACTGTAAAAAATGTGACGCTCCTCCAGTCCAGCCTTGGCAATAGGAAATATCTTTGTATGCTATCTAAAAAGATCACCTATATTTTACTGAGATTATGAAAAAATATCCAAAGTATACTTTTCTAGATTATTTCAACAAAATACAGGCAGGTCTTAAAGGGTCGATCCACCAGGAAGCTGACAAAGTTCAAACTTCGGGCCCCTCACTTGCTCAGGTGAGGAAGACTAAGCACTATGCCCAGGTGCTTTTGCTCTTAGAGTCCCCACCCCCATCTAGTGCACACAATTGCTCAAGCTTCAGGCCCATAAAACCTGGACCCATCCCTGCCAAGTCTCCATTAGATTATTAACATGAAGACAACCAGGCTAGAATTTGCAAAAATGATCCAAAATTCGTGTATTATTTCAAACATTTCTCAACAGACCAAGCAGAGAAAGCCAAAAGAGGTACATTGTGGATCTCTGCAGTATGGTTAGTATTACTTTGCCCAGGATACAAAAGAAGTTTTGGAAACCATGACTAGATCAAAACGACTTTTGTTAAATGTAGTACAGGAAATCCTAGATAGTTATTACCCATAAAAACTAGGTAATGCATCTTAGTGAAAACAGTTAGTACTCAGTACTTATTTTTAATAGTAATGCCATGTATCCCAAAACTAAGCAAACTATATGTCAATTGTGTGATTAATTAGACTAAATTTTGCAACCACTTTTGACACAAAGATCAAAACAAACCAAAGAAAGAAAAAAAATCTGCTATCAACTTGGCTTTGGGCTTTTAAATTTTCAAACTCGGAAAGGCTTCTTAGAGAGCTTTTTAGAGAGCTCCTTGAGAGCTTTTTCGTGTGAGTGGGGGGTCTTCTCTTAGCATGCACTCCCATCTCAACTCCTACCAGTTCTTCCCATCCAGCATGGAATACGCAGTTAATTCTCCTTTGGAGGCTACAGTGATACCTACAGCTGGTAGTTTTTAAAAGTATGATAGCAAGTGATAAATTCCCCTATCCTACCAGCGCTTTACTGTGAAGATGGTCCTTCCCCTCCACCCCTCATCCTTCCTCCCTTGTGGTCTCTTAGTTTGGGATGGTCCCTAGTCACTTCTTCTGACGCCTGGCCTCTGCCCAGGCGGAGACACCCTCAGGAAGGTCTCCTTGGGATGGTCACAACACCAGGGTAAAGTTACCAGGGAAAGCAAAAAGGCGGCCTCTGCTCACTTGCAAAAGGACGCAGCCAGTTCCCAGACCCGGACGCGCCCAAGAAGGGGGCAGGGAGTGTCGCCACCGAATCCCAAGAAGGGCAGCGGGACCCACCTCCGGCTCCCTCCCGCTCCCGCCCTTGGCCCCACCTCCGCCGGCTAGCACAAAGCCGTCCCAAAGGCGGGGGCCGGGACCTCTGGAAGGCCGCCTAGACGCGACGAACCAGGCCCCGGCGACCTGCCGCTCAGGCCGCGCAGGCCGCTGCTCCAGGCCGAGTCTAGAATTCCCGTCCCGGAAGGGAAGGACGCGAATCTAGAGTTTCCACCGCCCCCGGTTCCCAGCCTTTCTAGGCAGAGCCCCCGAGAAGCTTTTGCGCGACCCCTGCAGTCCCGCCCGCCACGCCCGAGTTGGCGGCCTCCAGCTTGCTGCGCCTGGGCTGGCCCGGCCGCCGAGAGCTGCGGGCTCCGGGGGCGTGAGATGACATCGGGGCCCGGGCGATTGCTCATTTACAGACGCCCCTTTGAGCCCCGCCGACGTGCTTACTCGGGGCCTCAAATCAGTTCCTCACGTATCCAACAGGCCCGGTCCCCCAGCACCTGCGTAAGGTGGCCAAATGACGCGGGCGCATACAGGGGAAGCGGGGGCGGGAGCAGGGAGGATGGGGGCGGGGTGTGGGGAGACACTGCCCGAGGTCCCCGCGACCCCGGCCTGCCCCGCGCCTCGCCTAGCCTGGTTCCGGGGCGCACACGCGGGCGCACACACGCACACCCTTCTGCCCCAGTGCGGGAAGATGGCCGTTTCTGCTTGGATATAAAAGCTCTTTGTTGCACTCACACAAAAGCGTCCAAGACCCGCTTTTCCAGCAGGCCCTTTGGACAAATCGAAGGAAGCCAACTGAACTTCCAGAGGGGTCCCCAGAAGTCTGAGGCAACAGGAGGACCTCCAGGAGAGGGGGAACAACAGGCCTCCCGCCCCCAGCTACCAAAATCTGTCACTCTTCTAGTATTCGTCCTGGGAGCGGGCGCTGAGATCATTCGTAAGGGAGGAAGGAAACTACTTTACTATCAAGGCCCAAATGGGGCATTAAACATCCACGTTCTTGTAGGGTTTCTCCCCCTTAAACAGGGTAGAAACATAATCCGGGAAAGTCTGCATCCACCAAAAAAAGAAAAAAGAAAGAAAAAAAATACCAACAATAGCAACTTAAAAAAAAAAAAAAAAAAAAACATAACAAACCAGTTGCCATCAGCCCAAAGTGGTAGCAGCAGCAGCCGGCGCGTGTGATCCACTTACTTGTCCGACTCTTGTGACATGTTTGATCCAATGAACTCGCTCCCCTTTTCCTGGAGCCTCAGCCTCTGGTGAAACTGGACTTTCAAGTCTGTGCAGGTGAAGGTGTGTGAGAGCGCCCGAGATGGCAGAACAAGAGCTACAGGTAATTCTGCTTTTCCGTCCCCCCTCACCACTCTCGCTCGCTCGCCCGCTCGCGCCCTCACCTAGCCGGAAAGGTGGGATAAGGGGGGGCCCCTCACATGGGGCCCGAGCTCGGAGGCGGCCGGGCGGCGCGGAGTCCTCCTGGATCGTGGCAATGGGCAGACACAGAGCAGAAAGTGGCGGACTTGGGCGGCCACAGGTAACTTTCTCGCAAGGAGCTGAATTCTTTCACTAAAGGGTACAAGCCCGAGGGACGAGCTGCGCGGTGATTGGCTGCGGAGCTCCCTCAGGTGAGCTGCCATTGGCAGAGGCGCGCTCAGGTAAGGCCCTTCTCCAAGTGCAGGTAACTCACTCCGAAGTTGACCTGAGTGGAGCGGTGGCACGCTTGCAGCTCAGCGGCAGCCTGCGGGAGCTGAGGGTCAGTGCTTGGAACAGACTTTCAGCTACGTTGTACACCTTCCCCGAGGCCGGTTGGGGAGGTCGGGGGACTGGTGGGAGAGAAGGAACCGGGGGGAAAAAGCAGCACCTGCAAGCACTAGGGATTGTGGGTCAAACGGAAGGACGATGGAAAACTGAACTCAGAAATCCCATGCAAACCGGAATCAAATGGGCAACACACCACAAGGCATTCAGTACCCCACTGTAAAAGAAGTGTTTGCGGCAAAACAGTAAGGGACTAAAGTTACTTTTTTGTTAAGGCGGGAAAGAAACACAAAGTATGTGGAGTCTGTTGCGTAATTGCATTTTTAACATTCTTATCTACAACAAACACTTTTCGTATCCAGGTAGTTTACAGCTTTTCAAATAGGTGGACATCCTTTCATGAGCTGAGCTGATGAGGAATGGCGAGCTTTTGATAGAAAAAGGAGATTTGGTTGAATAGACACTTAACATGGTCCAGGAGCCCTTCTTTGATCTCAACTCTGCAGCCTGGGATTCCAGAGCTGCCAACAACCGCTGAATCCGTTCTATAACCCTGTTGTCATTTGACGTTTCCAGGCAGGCATCAACATTTACATTGTAATTCAATAGAAGCAGCTACTACAAAGGTTCTTTATCCTTGCAGTTTAATATGGTTGCTAGGGGAACAATGCAGGATGAAACTGGCTTTCTTGTGGTTCGGTTCCTCCTGGTTCGAACAACGCGAATTAGCAAAGGTGTAATTTATAACCGCTGCTACCGGAGTGAAGTATTTGTGGAAGTTCTGACGAGGATCTAGCCCATACACGTGGATTGTGAAAATAACGGAGGACATGGAAAGCTTACCATATTTTACTACAAGTTAATGCAAATGCTATCAGACTTGATACAACTTCTATTTTAATTTTTTATGGATCACAAATTCCTGAAAAAATTACATAATAAAACAAGGTTTGGTTGTTGCACGTTTTCATTCTCAGCAAATGAATTTCACAATTATATGTATATCCACACGTATACCTTTTAAACATAATATATTTTAACATATTTCAACACAAAACAACTCTACCTTCTTTATCTCCCTTTCAGATGATTCCGTTTTTCAGCTGTCTCTATTGTCATTTCCCTCCCTGTTTTGAAACAATTTATGCTGCTATCTCTTGACTTATTAATATAGAAGTTGTGCTTTGACCACCTGTTGCCTTGGGTAAGGATTTAGCCCTTTCACTCTACCCAGTTTCCCCTTCTAGCCATTTTCATAGTTTAGGGACTAAATAGCACAAACATCAGGGACAGCACAGCCAACTAGTGTACTATGCTTGTTTTCTTTCTTATAAAATATTTTGTCTGTTTGATCATATGCCTGGTATTTTTCTACAACTGATCTATCAAATGACCATCTAATTTATTTTTCAAGTGATCAAACAAGCAATTCTATCTTTCCTCCATCCTCCAGGACTGCGCTGTTGTGCTACAATGGAGATGAGTATCTCTGTGGATCGCTGCTCCATTGTCATTCAGGGATGCTCCTTAATTTGTTAGGTGAGAACTCCCTTTCTGCTTCTGGCGCCTTTTTGGTTTGTGCCTCATTTTCTATGGCACATGGTCCAATAACGGTCCAAGAAGGGTATAGAAGGTAAAATGTTGAATTCCTACATACTCAAAATGCCTTCAACTTTTACTTTTTGATGGAGAGTTTGACCAAGTGTAGAATCTTAAATTGAACTTTTTCGTTGATAATCCCATAAAAATTACTTTTTAAAAAGAATCTTCAAGTTTTCAGTATTACTGCTGAGAATTCCATTGTCATCCTGATTCCCATTCCTTTTGGAATTTTTCTTTCTGGAAACTTGCAGAATGATCTTTTTATGTCTAGTATTCTGAAATGTCATAATTATACGCCTTAATCCAGATGTTCTTTTGTTCATCATGCTGGTCACTCAATTGGACACTTTCAGTCTGGGAGCTTATATATAGTTCAGGACATTATTTTAAAATATTTCTTCAATAATTTCCTCTCAGGGGCTGGGGGTGTAGCTCAGTGGTAGAGCACTTGTCTAGCACATATGAGGCACTGGGTTCGATCCTCAGCACCACATAAAAAAATAAAGTATTGTATCCAACTACAACTAAAAAATTTTAATAATAATAATAATAATAATAATATCCTCTCAGGTCATCCTAGTAGTGTAATTAAACACATGAAGGCTCGGATTGCCTGAGTTCAAATCCTAACTGTACCATATGACCTTGGGCAAGTCACTTAGTTTTGCTGTGCTTCAGTTTCCTCATCTATAAAATGAGGATCATAATAGTAATTACCTTGATAATACATCTGAGTCTCTTCAAACAGTGTCAGACACATAGAAAGCTTTTAATGCTTGACTACACTTGTTATTTCTTTTCAAAACTCTTCTTAGTTGAATATTGGGTTTTCTGGGTTATCTTTTCTTCTTTTTAAGTACTGGAGAACTGAATCCAGGGTACTCTACCACTAAGCTACATTTCCAACAATTTTTATTTCTCTTTATTTTGAAACAATCTCACTAAGTTGCTCAGGCTGGCCTCAAACTTGGGATCCTCCTGCCAACAGGTGTGTGCTACTATGCTAGACTCCAATTACTCTTAGAATCTTCTTCCTCCTCCTCCTCCTCCTCCTCCTCCTCCTCCTCCTCCTGGACATTTGTCTTTTGTTCTATTTTGAAGGATATCTCCTTCTTTTACTTGCTATTGAAATTATCTCAGGTATTTTAAGCTTTCATTTTGTGTTTTCTGTTATCCTTTCAATATGATTCTGTGATTATGTCATAGATGCAATAATTCTGTTTTTAGTTATTATAGTTTTTATTCTGTTTCTTGCCTTGTTTTGGTTTCTTTCTTTCCCCCATGCATTTGTTTTGGTGACACCATAGTAGAGGTGTCACCAAAACTGCTGTCTATTCATAGGTAAGAATGAAGGTTGTAAGACCCTCTCCACATAACTCTGTGGGCATGGAGAAGTGCGCCTGCTCACTGGTGGGCTTGCATGTGCTGATCAAGCCTGCTTTTTCATAGGAAGATATCTCAAATATCAGAGACTAGATGTCTTTTCTATTGGGCTCTTCAGTTTCTCAAGAGAAATCTCCTACAGTCTCTTGCCTGAGGGGGCGGGGCGTTCACCTGGCTGCCAACATTCTGGAAGCCTTTCAGGGGAAGGGGCCCGGGCGAGCCACTGCTTACTGTACAGCTTTTCATGCTTCTTCCTTTCCTGCAGGGCTTTACTCCTGCCTTTCTTTGTGCCTGGTGGAAACGCCTCTCTCCTGTTTCTCCAGCTGGCTGCAAGAAACGAGGCAACAAGATCTGAGGGCATTTTTTCATAAGAGACTGAAGAGCCCAAAAGAAAAGACTTTCGGTCTCTGATATTTGGGATCTACTTGCAGGAAGAGACAGGCTTTCACCTGATCATCACCTAGCAGGTCCCCCAGTAAGCAAGCACACTCCCCTCCCCCACAGGGCTTCTGATGAGGTTCTTTTGACCACATTCTTACTTGTGAATGGAGAGTAAAATTTTGTGACTGCCAACTGTCGATGACTGCCGAAAGCTCTGATGGCAGAGGGCTCAATGACTCAATTGCCAGTATTTACCCAGACCCCTGACTTTTGCTCCTCACCTCTCCCTTATCCTTCTGCGATCCTGAGGTCTCTCATCAGCACCCCTCTATGATGATTTCTGGCATCTCCAAGCCCTAGATCACAGGGGTTTTGTAGGGCGACCAGGCTTTTTCTGTACTGACCTCTATGACCACTTTAGAGTATCACTTCTTCTATAATTTTAAACTAGTTTCCACCCCATCTTTGAGAATTGTGTTTAAGTACATCTCTTGCTGATGATTCTTCTTCATTCTCTTTGTCCCTTTGGATATGTCCTTTGATGTTCCTTTACTATTCTTTAGGAGGGAAATGAAGATAAACAAGTACAGGTCAATCTGTCTACATCATTCAGACTTCTATTTCCAATCTTATAAAAAAGCTTTTACCAAACTGTCCCAAAATCATTTGTGCAAAAAACACACATTGTTTATGGCTAAACTATTTCTTTCATTGGTTTATAGTGGTAAAGATTCCTTTCTTCTTCTCTACTATCTAATAACTCAACTTTGATTATGTGGCTTGATAGTCCCTTAATTGGCTAATTCTTGGTATATTGATTGATTAGACTCATGAATAAGGTTCTAGTGGATGATTTTGTATTTTCAGTCATGAAATTACCTCTGTTATTCAATTGTTTTGATTCCTTTGGCAGAGGAATTGTAAATAAATATGCAAGTTTCTGTCACATAGATCATGAGACTATGCTATTCTCTCTCCAATCATTTACATCCATAAATATTGAAGTTCAACAGTGGTTCCCAAAATGTGGTCCCTGGATGGACTGTCAGCAGATCACGTGGGAGCTTGTTAAGAATGCGAATTCACTAACTTGACCCAGGACCCACTGAATCAGAAACTCAAGGAAGTGAGCAGCAGCATGTATTTCTTAAAAAAAAAAAAAAAAAAACCCACCTGTGTAGTGATGCATGGTTGAGCTGGAGAAGCACAGTGATATGGTATTCTGACAGGATGAAGCAGCACATCTTTGGCCATTGGAAATCATTGTTCTCACATGAACATGGAGTTTTCTAGCAAACAATCAGGGGGTAAGTTGTGGATTTTACGTGTATGGATTATTCCATGCCTAGCCCAGTGATTTTATTTAATGGTTGATCACTGCTGTTATTTAGAACAGTTAGCACATTTAAA